GTGCACAGCACGTGTTCGTCGAGTTCTGAGTTTCGTCTCGCGCGGCAAATGAGTGCGGTTGAGTGAAACGACCCTCTTTATAGTCGTTCCCCAAGCAGCCTGCCCCACACCAGTACCCCGAAAACGCCCTGCAGTGCCTGCACAACGTCGAGGTCGTTTTTTTAACTAATTTCAATTATTAAAAATAAAAATAAAAATTCTGGGGGCATGAGGTGGTACCCGACAGGCCACTGCACCACCCTAGGCCCTCAGAAACCCCATAGGCCACTGCACCACCTCAGGTACTAAACTGTACCGACTTATGTTGAGTGAGCACGAAGCCTTTTGTGAAAGTCAGTCGAGCGAGAGCTCAGATAATGTCATTGCCAGCGATCTTTTCTTCGAGACCATTATCGTTTGAACCACTAATAGACATTGTCTTTGAAGCCACGCTAGACATAAAATATTGTGAAAGAGCAATGTGAGAAGGACAAATAGGTTTACCTTAGCTGATACTAAAAGTTGTCGTGATCTTTTTGAGAATGAAGGAGTTAGTCTATGTTTGACCGAGTAAGTTCTTAGCAAGGAATCCCGACTCTGGGCGCGCTGGTGAAAATGATTCTTCTCCCACGAAAGTGACCCGTTTGTTTAAGTCTAACCATATTTTGCAAATTCTGCTTCTTCTTGTACTGAGAAAGCCGCTACACTAAACTCACCTTCATGTTCGCTCACCTCAAGGTCCGCAAATTCAACTTACTCATGGTAAAAAGGGAGGAGAACATAATATATCCGGACTATGGTCGAACTAATGGTTGTCGGGGCAACCGTGAAAGTGAATCACTCTGAGTAAGGGGTTCCTTTGAATACTAGGAGGGATAAAATAAAATTTGCAAAGTATTGTGAGACGCTCATGGATGGTACTAATTTGGGACGAAATGAGGAAATGTTGCGTACTTTGTGAAGTGACCCTACGTGAAGATCATCATTGGGCTCGATACTTTTTCGGAGTTAATAAAAAAAAAAAAAACCTTCAATCACAATAAATACTGCAGACTTGGTCATTTTCAACCAAATACACCTAACCCATGTTGATTTTAATCGTAGACAAACCCTTTCTGATCTGGGATAAGGTTTAGTTGCGTCCAGTCCATCCCTAAAGGTAAAAATTTTGTGTATTCTCTTGTAAATCTATATTTTAGAGTTAACGACCCTAATAGAGGTCTGAGCCCAAGTTCTAGATCAACTGGACAAGGATGGCTCATCACATTCCGTAATTATCACTGCTCTATAATCTGTGTTCACAACTAACTAAGACTCGGTAGGTTTACCCTCGAGGTGAGTAAGTGACAGACATTACACTACCAGTTCTCTTTGTTTTGTCGTCGAGGACCTCAGAAGCGGGCGCAACGAGTGAAAAACGTTGTCGCCCATGCCGTCAACAACAAACAGGTATTTCCTCTCGGGGTTTCCTCACAGTTTTGTCATCGCTGTT